TCACTTGGTAGCCCAGGCTGGCCTCGAACTCACAGAGATCCGCCTGGCTCTGCCTCCCGAGTGCTGGGATTAAAGGCGTGCACCACCACCGCCCGGCTTATTTTTTGATAATTATCCCTTAAACTATACAGGATACTTATTAACCCAACATTTACGCTGTGTTGGATATTACATCATCTGGAAATGACTTAAGGTCTTTGGGAGCAGGTATTTAGTGAGACAAAATACTGAACTACCTAAGGGACTTGAACATCTGTAGATATTGGTATCTGTGGGGTCATGGAACCAATGGATACTGAGGGTGACTGCTTTTCACCCAGTTCAGGCTGTCCCTATAGCCAGCTCCTTCCTTGGGCTTCATATTAGAACCTTCTTCTCTCCCCAGGTGCTTTAACAGGGACTGTCCCACCCTCAGCCCCACTGTGTTAGCAAATGCCACCAGTCCTGGAGCTCATGACCCTGTCTCCCTGTGCCAGGCCCGGCCTTGAACATCCCCTCTAGGTGAAGGTGTGGGTCTCTTCATTGCCTCTGGCTCCTGCCCTGCTTTCTTTTTAGCAGCTGGACTAAGGGTTTTTACAAATCTTTGTGTATAATGTGAATACAGAAATATGTACCATGTAACAGTGTAGCTGTGTTTTGCAAACTGAACTAATCTAAGTGATTAGACCCAGAACCGGGAGCATGTACAGCAGCCTCAGGCTCACACAAATCCCCTGCCTCAGGCTATCCCACCAAGGTCAAGTCTACATTCCTTCCCCTTGACTGCCCATCCTGCTCTGAACACACTCTGTCCCAAACAAAGCAGGCCATATCGTTGCTACCCTGGCCCTCAGACCCAATACCTTCCCGCCCTCCCTCTGACAGACACTGCCATCTATATCTGTGCCTCTTTCCCGCAGCCCTGGGAGCGGAACCCAGGCTCTCATACATGCTGGCTAAGTGCTGTAGCACAGAGCCACAACCCCAGCCAGCATGACCTTTAAAAAACTCCATGTAATTTCTCTGCTTACCATGACTTCACCTACTGCTTTACAGTCCCGTTTCCGCCCTTCTCCCTCTACCCTCAAGACTGAATATCAGCTGAGAGGCTACAACCAGGGCCTTCGCGCCCACCCTGCTCTTGTTGAAGGTAATTACTCAGAGAAACCCTGTCAAGCAAACAAACAGGAGTGCCGGAGTGACTGGAAGAGGAGACTATGGGCATGCAGCCAGCAACAAGCAACCTGAAGGATGCTCCGGAGGACCCAGGCCCGGGGACCATCAAGACACCGCCATCTCACTTACCCAGTTCTCCATTTTCTTGGCCCTGCGCTCCAATCCCTTCTGCAGGCGCTCCCCTACACCCCCTGAGCTCTGAAATTCGTCCACCAGTTGCTTGGTGTGGGCCCACTCTTCCTCACTCACGATGGGCTGCAGTGCCTTGAGGTAATGGTCCAGGGATTGCTGGAGTGGGGGCACGGGCAGCCTCGGCAATGCATCCTGGTGGGCCTTGAAGCGACCAGAAACCTTCATCAGGGAGGAGGGCTTGAGGAGGCCCAGGGGCTTCACCTGAGGGAGGCAGAACAGCTTATTCATTCTCTCAGACTAAGCACAGCTCTCTCCAAACTGCAGTCCTGGGCGCTTATATGCCATCCCCGGGGGCAAAGACAGTCTAATGGGTGGTACCTGCTCTGGATGCCCAGCCCTTCAGGTTTAGGAGTCCCGCCTCTTAGGAGCCTAGAGGTGCTAGGAAAGGGCGGAAAGGGCGGGGGTGGGGTGGGGTGGGGTGGGGCAGGGATGAACTACACTGTAAGGGGGCCTTATGCCTGTCAGGATGCACGAGACCCATCATCCTTCTTGCCCTGGGCAGAAAAGTCAGCCAGCAGAGACGTGGCAGCCAGCTCTCTAAGCTGAGGTCCCCAACTTCCTTTCCCTCCACCCTTTCCATTTGAGAAATAGGAAGGACTTGGAACCAGACAGGGACAGCACCTCTGGGCTTTCTCTTCAATGTGCGGTGATGGTAAGGGTGTGGGGCAATGCTGCAGCAAGAGCTGAGTAGCCTGGCATGGAGGGAGAGGTAACAGAGAGAGAGGTGGAGAGTCCAGGAGACTCGGAAGTGGCAGAAAGCGAGGTAGGAAGGTCCCAGGCTGCTGGCACAGTGGCAGGCAAGCGGCAGAAGCTCCATTCCATACCTTCTCTCTCTGCTGCTCGTCCTCCATGGCAGGACTGAGGATGTGAGCCCTGTCTGTCTGCCTTGGCTGGATCTCTAAGCCTAACTGTGCTACCAATTGGACGAGCAGAAACTACCAAGAGGCAGCCACCTGCCTGGGCTGGAAAGAGAAGACAAGATCCACAATTCAGGGCTGAGGGAGCAGCGAGGCAGTAGCCACTGACAGACGGGGTGGCATCTAAGGCTGTAGCCGTGGTGGCTACAGGATTGCAGCAGCTACCCTCCACTTCTCCCAACCTTCCAGAGGAGGAGGGGTAGGGCAGCTGAGTGGGCTGGGAGTAGGCACCGGAGTAGGAGGAAGCCTGGAACTTTCTCCTTTCTTCTTTGGATGGGCCCAGAGCCAGGGAGGCAAGCCAAGAGGTATTAAAAAATCCACCTGTCAAGATCTTCAGTGATCTTTTTGATGTGGGAAAACTTGGCTGGAGGGTGGACTGGTTGTTAACCCGTGGCCCTGAAATCGGTCCCGTTTGGGACTGTGCAAGACAGGAGACGGCGGAAAGGGGCCACTAGTGGACAGTGACTGCTACAAACCGTGCCCACCTGTTTCCCTTCTAGACCTGAGGGCTTTGGGTGGTCACCCCTCTAACAAAATCTGTTTTTTCGTTTGTTTGTTTGTTTTTCTGAACTCTAGATCATTCAGGTTGGGATCAAGAGTTTGTGGGTAGGGGTATGGGGTGTGTGTTGGGGGGGGAGACAGGAGTACTTTGGGTGTGAACAATAAACCAAAGGACTCTAGTCTGGGGATTGGGCTAAATTGATTAGCAGAGCCATGGGATCTGAGTTCTCCTGTGTCAGTTTCCCTGGCATTAAAGTGATTGTGCCAGTATGGTTGGTGGTCCCAGAGGACGACGATGTAAAAGCAGTCTGGTGGACGGCGTACAGCTTTTGAAAAGGGGGAGGCAGGTCTCAGGTGCTGCTGGGACTCTTAGAAGAGTCTTGGTCTGAGCTGACATGGTGCCCTTAGCTGCCAACCCAGTGTTGGAGGAGGCACAGTTCACAGCTGTACAGCTCGCTTGAATCAGAGAGGAAGGAGCATTGGTTAAGAATGGCAAGGACCTTCCTGCCACCTCCTGCCTGTTCTGGGGACTTCCAGGACAAGCCTCCACCTGAGGTTCTTGGTCACATACAGTGGGGGAGGGTGAGCACCTGATGAACTCAAGGAGAATGACCAACTGGGTAGGCTTGGAGAAGTGACTCTGGTCGGGACAAGGGCAACTGGGCCTGAGGCTGAGCCCTAGCCAGGAGCTCCTGACAGGTGTCTGGGTTAGAATAACAGAGTATGACGGAGAAGCGGGGTGTAGAGGTGAGAGAGACTTGAACCTAGATTTCCCAGCGTTTTCCTGGGTCGTTGACAAGGAGCACCACAGGTCTCGGGTTCAATCCCGCCCTTCATCTGGGTCGGTCTACTCTGCCCACCTTGCGGATCGCACCCTAGCAGCCAGTGTGGGATTCCGAACCGCCGTCTCCCTGCAGCCCGCGGCCCTCGGCCCGCCTACCTTAGCCTGTCCCGAACCCTCCGGGCCGTACTCACCACGGTCCTGGCAGCAAAGGCTAACATCGTCCCGGTCTGTCTGCGGACACCCGGTCCGCTCCGCCCCTCGCGCTGGGCAAAGTCTGCACCCTTGTGGGGTCAGTGGGTTCCCCTCTGGGGCTCTGGGTTCAAGGTCACCAAGTCGCTGCCGCCAGCCAGGAGAGGCGGCCCCGCGCCCACCGGGCCGGGCGGGCGGCCGGTGGAGCAGGACTCACGGGGCGGAGCCTCGGCGGGCCGCAGTTCCGAGCCGCTAGGCGCGAGCCGGGGGCTGGCCCGGGCCGGGACGTGGCCACAGGGGGAGGGGCCTGCGGCGACCGGTCTCCGGCTCGGCCGTTAGAAGCCAGGCGCCGGGCTTCCGCCACGGGTCACAGCGGGGGCCACGGTCCCGCTCGCGCCCTCCGCCGCCGAGCGCCGCCGGAGCTGTCGAGGCGGCTGTGTGCGTCCATCCAGGCCGACGGGTGTCCTTGAACGTCACTGCTGGAGGCGCAGGGAAACATAACTCTGTCGACAGAGGGCTGTCTCAGACGCTCTGGGCCAGGCTCAGTGCCGCACACAGATGACAGGTGGCCTTGCCCCACACAAATATGGCCGCCGCACCCACCCCCACGGAACCGGGCGCCCCGCACAAACATGGCCGCCGCGCCTGCAGTTGGCCCGCGGGCGGCGGCCGTTAGTGCGCATGCTCGCGGCGCCCCGCACCAAAATGGCCGCTGCGTGCGTCCGTCCGCCCGGCGGCCCCGAGACGGCAGTTGCTGGGCATGCTCCCTGCGTGCCCCGCACTGGCATGGCCGCCGCCTTCACCAGAGTGACTCTAACTCTCGGCTTCCGGTCGTAGCCGGCCGGCGCTCATTTCTCTTCGGGAGGCTTAGGGGAGCCGGGGAAAGGTGCGCCGCGGACGGTGAGAGGGAACTGCGAGCGTCCGCGCCGGCTGCTCACCGGGAAGATGGCTGAGGGCGAGCGGCAGCCGCCGCCAGGTAGGGCGGTTGGAGGCCCCGGCGTGCGGGTAGCAAAGGGGTGTGGCCGGGGGTCCCAGGGCTGGGGGAGATGGAGAGGCGGTGGGGGAGATGGAGAGGCGAAGCCGACGGCCTCGGAGGAGTTGGAGGGCCAGACCCGGGGCAGCGGGCGGCTGGCGGGGAGGGCGGCCGCACTGGGGAGCCCGGGGCTGTCCGAGGGCCGGGCGGGCAGAGCGGTGGGGAAGGGCAGAGCGTGCTTAGGTAAAGCAGAGTCGCCCGCGGTCGGGGGCGACAGGGATGTAGGAGGCTGCTCGGGTGGCCTGGGCCTCGCTCACACACACACACACACGCCAGCGTCCTCCATGCCCTGCCCACCCTGCATCGTCGCCCGCCCGCCCTCTCGCCCTCCCTCCTGCAGGCCCGGCTCTGGGGTTTCAGTATCTATAGAGTTGAGAGAAACTACCTGGGGTGTCTAAACCACTAATTTAAACAAGCTGTTGGTGCAAGATGAGAGGGTTGGTGGCATCACCGTCTGTAACTTTTATTTACACTGTGGCCTCATTATAGTTCATCTCAAGTAACTAGGGCAGAGGTACAGGCCGGTTCTTCCAGAAGAGACCCCCCTTCCTGGAGAAGAAAGCCGTTTGCTGACTCCATGGAGTTAAGAAGGTCCGGAAAATTCTTACAGAGAATGGATAGTTTGGCAAAAACACGGCTCGTGTTTTGAAAGTGTTTGATGATCCTTCTGCCACACTTCGTATTTCGTGGCCCCAAAGAGAGTCTCACTCAGTAGGGAGAAATTTTGAAAACCAAAAGAGGCACCATTTCTGTGCCCCGCTAACGTAGATGAGCACAGTGGAATTCAAAACCAGACATTTATTTTAAATTATTCCCAAACCTCCATGAATGTGTTCTAATCAATTCTGACTGACTCCTTTTGAAATGAGTGTCCCTGAAAATGAGTAGGGAGGAGATGTTGGGGATCAGAACCTGTGCACTAAAACAAGCAAACAACAAAACCTCAAGGAGGTGATCTGTGACTTCTGGAAAGACTCAGGACCTTGGAGGTAGCTCCTTTGAAGTCTGAAATAGTATTGATGTATTTGAAGGCAAGGTCTCACTATTTGTATAGCTTTGACTGTCTTGGAACTCACCATGTAGAACAGACTGGCCTCAAATTTACAAAGATCCGCCTACTTCTGCCTCTGAGTGCTGGGATTACAGGTGTATGCCACCATGCTCAGAGGAGTTATTTATTTTTTAAAATTAATTTTTATCAGTTTTGACTTATGTTTTAGGAGTAAAACAGATTTGAGTTCATAATGTGGACAGTCAGATGTGAGCAGAGTGTGAGGTGTGACAGGTACACAGGGGATACAAACATGTTACCTCCAAATTGGAGGTGATAACCAGCACACTCTTGGAGTGTTTGGTGGGTATTTTTGTTTCTGGGTTGGTTTTTTTTGTTTTTGTTTTTTGTTTTTTGAGACAGGGTATCACTGTGTGTCTTCAAATCCTCTAACACTTTCATTTCCTCGTGACTTCTCCAGGCAGAAGTTCTGTGCTCTGCACATGCCATACACACAGAACTGTTCTAGGACTAGAACTCACTGTAGACCAGACTGGAACAGAACTCACCTGCCTCTGCCTTCTGAGTGCTGGGATTAAAGGCTGCACTACTATATCCAGCATGTGCTTTTTATACAAGGTCACTGGCCCTGGCTGCCCTGGAAATCATCTTATAGACAGGAATGACCTGATCTTGTCTCCCCCCAAGAGCTGGGATTACAGGTGTGGGCCACCATGCTCAGCTGTTATGAGGCAGGGTTTCGCTATGTGGCTGAGGCTGGCTAGACTTGGGGGTCCTGTTGCCTCCAGCCACTGAGGGCTGGGACTGTAGTGATGTGTTACTGCACCTGGGCTACTTTTGGGGTTTTTCAAGGAACGTCTGTAAAACTTTTCATGTTTTGATCTTAGCTGTCAATACAGGTGACCCAGTGTCTGCGTCCTTTACCAGACAACCTGGGACTGGAGAGGCTGGGGCTGTGCTCTCTTGTCGTCTTGTCTCGGAAGCCTTCTTAGTCTTTGCTTGTTTGGTTGGTTTTGATTTGGGGTTGTGTATTCTGTCGACTGTGTTTCTTCAGGGACTTACTGCTTTGCTTCACATAAGGCGGCCTCTGCTCTTGGGGATGTCGCCAGCTCTGGAGGCCTTCTTCTCTGTGAAATAGTATCTGGAGGGGGCACAGTTTGTTGCAGGGAATAGGTCTCTTTCATTTGCAGGTTGGTTATTTGGAATGTGGAAGACATTTCCCACATAAAATGTGTCCCTATAAACCGGTTGGCTCACCAGGCTGGCTTCAAAGCTTTTTATTTAGCATCTTACTTCCAGTAGCAATTTCCTAGTAGGAAGGGCCTGCGGTGGGGCTCTGGGAACAGTGTATGTGTGGGATCAGAAGTAGGGGCGGAGGGAGCTTCTGGACTCTGCGCGACCTTTCCCTTCCTCACTCTGCTTTCCTTCTGAGTTCTGCTAAGTCTGGGAAGCTTATCTTGCTCTTATCTCATTTTCTGACTTTCTCCTTAGGTCTCCAAGTCCCCTGGCACTTTAGTTCCCTCATACCTTCTCCAGGCGGGCTCTGGTCCCTGCACAAGCCACACAGGACTGTTGTAGGCCTTTGTCAGCGTGCAGTGTTGACTGGGTCTGAGAGGAAGACAGCAGGGAAGGTTTGTGTCATCTGGAGTCTCGTCCCCTTTCTCCTTCCTGAGACTTCCAATTGCAGACTCAGGCTTGAGCTCGCTCTCCGAAACCCGTGGCAGGTGTGTTTGGAATTCAGTTTCTCGTGTTGAAGGAGGTACACTCCTAACCAAGCAGAATCATTTCAGCAGTACATTAATGCCTTCACTAAGCAGGATACACAAAGCCTATGGATGTCTACATATTAGTCTATAAATATAAATTAACATGATTAATATAATAAAATATCTTTTAAAAAATCAAAATAATAAAGACAATTTTAAAAAAAGCACCGCCCAGCCACAATTTTTATTTTTAAAATTTCTGTGGGTCTTGATTTCCTTTTCTTTCTTTTTCCTTTTTTCTTTCCTTCTCCTTCTTTTTTTTGAAACAGACCCCGGCTGCCCTAGAACGTACTGTTTCACCCAGACAGGCTTCCCACCTGATGATTATCCCCTCCTCCCAAATCTTGAGACTGTAGGCAAGTGCAGGGGTTACAGGTGTCTGCCACTGTGCCTGGCTTGGTTTGATTTTTTTAAGTGTCTTGTCCAGTTAGGGATCAGGGAGAGAGTGGTTGGTTACTAGAGAACCAGTCACTTTGTGTGTGTGTGTGTGTGTATACATCTGTGTACAGGTATGTATAGAAGCAGAGGCCAGAGGTGGTTATTGGATGGTGTCCTCCTATTTTTGAGACAGGGTCTCTCACTGAACCAGGAACTATGGACTCAGCTAGGCTCTGGCCAGTGAGCTCCAGTGAGCTCCAGTGAGCTCCAGGGGTCCACCCGAATGCTTCCTCAACACTAGAACTGTACACGTGTGTCACGTGCCAGGCTTTCATGTGTGTGCTAGGGTCTGAACTCAGGTGCTCGTTCTTTTGTGGCAGGCACTTGACCTGCTGGCCTGCTCTGTTTTTCACTCCTTATGAAATGAAAGACTCGAAGCTGGTGGGTTTGGTTTGGACTCAAAGACTGGAGTCTTGCTTTAAAAATGAGAGAGAGGTGGGTAGTGGTGGTGCACGCCTGTAAACCAACACTCAGGAGGCAGAGGCAGGTGGAGCTCTTGAGTTTGAGGCCAGCCTGGTCTACAGAGTGAGTTCCAGGACAGCCAGGGCTACACAGAGAAACCTTGTCTTGAAAAACAAACAAAAAGGGAAGAAGAGAGAGAGAGGTCTGGGTGTGGAGTCCCGCTCCTTGACTCTAGCACTGAGAAACAGAGAGAGAGCTCTCTTGAGTTTAAGTCAGGCTGATCTACTTAGTGAGGTCTAGGCCAGCCAGGGCTACATAGAGAGAAGAGAACCTGCTTCCAAAAAGGGAGGAGGGGTTGGAGGGAGAAATTATTTACCTGTTTACCCTTTCATTTTCTTTGTCAAGATTCTTCTGAGGACACCCCTCCAGCTACTCAGAACTTTATCATTCCAAAAAAGGAGATCCACACAGTTCCAGATATGGGCAAATGGAAGCGCTCTCAGGTACGAGTGGTACCCACATGTGAGGGTTGGAGCGGGGGTGAGAACTTGAGACTGTCCAGGCAGGGTAGGTTTCTATGTCCCTTGACTTTCCTGCTCTTGGAACCTGAGCTGTCAGTGCTTAGGAGGGAGGTGAGAAGGTAGCTGTCTCCCTCCCTCCCAGTCAGTGCACAGAGGTGCTTTGTCAGGAAGGTCTGGCTGGGGCCCTGCTAAGTCTGGAGTGTCCCATTCTGGTTAAAGCGTTCATTGCTCCTTTAGTGGTGTACTGGATGAGCATGGATCTCCTGATTCTTGCTTGCAAGAACCTACATATGTAGGAGCCAGTGCAACAGAGGGAGACGAGACTGGCTTGTGGATACCTTAGCCAGAA